TTTTTTTCACTTTGGAGTAGAAATAGATGATTTTAGATGTAAAAAAGTTATTAACCATAAAAGAATAAGAAATTTGACCATAATTAAAATAAATTTGCCAGGCATGATGGTGTATGTCTGTAACCCAAGCACTCTGGAGGCTGAGACTGGATGGTCTTGAGTTCAAGGCCACTTTAGACCACATAGTGAGACCCCCTATGTTAAAAAAAACAGAATCATGGTCGAGGGGGTGGAGAGATGGCTCAGTGGTTAAGAGCACCGGCTGCTCTTTCAAAAGACCCAGGTTTGGTCCCCAGCATCCACAATGCAGCTCACAACCTTCTGTGACTCTAGTCTCAGGGGATTCCATGCCCTTTTCCCGCCTTCTCAGGCACTTGGTGCATGTGGCACACAGACACGCATGCTGGCAAAACACTCATACACACTGGGAAAAAAAAAATCAGGGGTAGGAGAGATGGCTTAGCTCTTGTTCCTTTTCTAGAAGTCCCTGGAGGCCAGAAGAGGGCATGGGAGTCACTGGAGCTGGGCTTCAAACTGTCCAGTGTCTGTGCTAGGAACTGCACCGTGCTCCTCTGCAAGAACAGCATGTGCTTCTAGCCACTGAAGCATCTCTCCTGTCCCCAAAGTTTTCTATTTTGATGAAGTCCAATATCTGTATCCATTTTCTGGCTTCACATTTTGCTTCAATAGTAATAAGTAGTAGTTGCTGTTAATTCTCATGTTCAATCTTGGTTTTACTGGAGGGAGAAGGAGCTGAAGGAGACAGCTTACTAAAAGTCTTATTCAGTAGACAAGCCAGAAATGAGGGTAGCCAGAAAGTTAATTTCAACCCAAATGCATGACATGGAAGTGGTGTGTTTGTGTGTGTGTGTGTGTGTGTGTGTGTGTGTGTGTGTGTGTGCACATGTGTGTGCTGTGACTATTGTAGAGCAGAGGTGGAAACCAGATGCCTTGAAAAGTCAGGGAAATCTCCAGAGAAAAGCTGGAAGCAAGTGGGAAGTGCCCAGTGAGGGTTAGTGGGCAGGGAACCAGCAAGGTCACCATACAGAAATAAACAGTGCTGTTCATGGCCCAGTTTATGAAAAGCAAACACATTTCTGTCACGGGAATATGGACAAAGTGGTGAGAAGATACAGGAAATGTGGAGATAGTTAGGCTGGGTGCTGATGGTGGATAAACATTAGACAAAGAATGTGGTTTTTGATAGTATAGGTGAAGAGGGGCCGTTAACGTAAACATTTTTCCTATTTTCCCCAATAGTCCATGTTCATCAGCAAATATTGAGAGAAACACAAATAATAAAAGGCACCGACAATGTCAGATATTCTTATGTGGAGAGACACTAGCCTACCTCCATCAGTGTGTCTGTCAAGGTCATCAGCCTTGTCAAGGTGACAGCCTGCAGGAGAGGAGGCGCCAGTGCCGGGCGGAGGGCTCCACAAAGAAGCAGCAGAGCAGGGAGGTCTGGGGGACACTATGATTCCAGCATTCAGAAAGCTGAGGCAGGAGGATGGAGGATTTTAAGTATGAAGCCAGTTTAGACTACATAGCAAATTCACAGCCAGCCTGGGCTACATCGTGAGACTCTGTCTCAAAAATCCAAAAAAATCGTGCTAGGCATAGTGGCGCACGCCTTTGACCCCAGCACTTGGGAAGCAGAGGCAGGGGGATCTCTGTGAGTTCCAAGGACAGCCTGGTCTACATAATGAGACCCTGTGTCAAAACAAAACAAAATACAAAGAAAAACAACAAAAAAGGTGGAGGTGAAGGGATGGAGAGGGTAGGGTCTCAGGGGAAGTTAAAATAAATATAATTTAAAAATAAATCTTCTGCCTGCTATGGTGGTACAGCCATTTAATTCCAGCACTGGGGAGGCTGGGCACATCTCTATGAGTTCAAGGCCAGCTTGGTCTACATAGTCAGTTCCAGGACAGCCAGGACTAGCTAAAAGAAATTTTGTCTAAAAAAAATGTATTTTTAAAAATAATTATTTTTATTTTATGTGTATGAATGTTTTGCCTACATGCATGTTTGTGTACCACATGTGTTCCTGATGCCCTCGGAGGCCAGAAGAGGGCACTGATCCCCTGGAACTGGAGTTACAGATGGGGTTGAGCCCTCATGTGCCTGCTGGGAAACAAACCTGGGTCCCCTGGAAGAGCAGCCAGTACTCTTAACCACTGAGCCATCTCTCCAGCCCCAGACATTAAAATAAAAATCCCATTTATTTACTTACTTACTGTGTGTATGTGTGTGGGTCCACATGTCTATGGGTGTAAAGGTCAGAAGGAAACCTTCAGGAGTTGGTTCTGTCTATTATGAGGGTCTCAATCAAAATCGGGTCAAGCTTGGAGGCAAGTGCCTTTACCTGCTGAGCTGTCTCCCTTGGTCCTCTTACTAAAAACAAAACAAAACTTTGAAAGGAGAAAATTTCGTTAGTTTTATCATGTAGTATATAAGATAATCCCATCTATTAATTCATCAAGCACTTATTGTCACTATGTGCCAGGGCTACTGTGCTGCTAGTCAATATGGGGACCAGAGGCAGACTGGAATAGCAGCTCAGTGGTACAGCATGGGTTCAGTTCTCCAGGACCACGCCCTTTCCTATGTCCAGGGAATATAAAGCTATATAAGGTGCACCGAAGTGTTATCACTGTGGTAAAAAAATAATGTGCAGGAGGAAGGATGGGCTGAAGGTGCCCTTTAAAACTGAGGTTTACCTGCACCGTTCACTGGGGGAGGACTCTGGTTTGATATCACAAATTTCCCTTGGGCCATTGACACCGTTTCAGAGGGAAGCTTTGAAATCAGAACTTGGCTTGCAAATAGTCTTTGGAAAGCATAAATGCCAGGGCTGGAGAGGTGGCTCAGTGGTTAAGAGTACTTGCTGCTCTTGCAGAGGACCTGGTTCAGCTCTCAGCACCCACATGGTGGCTAACAACTGTCCCTAACTACAGTTTCAGGGCATCTGAATACCCTTTTCTGATCTCTGTAGGCACCAAGCATCCATGGCGCACAGGTATATATGCAGGCAAACCATACCTAAAATTAATAAATCTAGTAAAAAAAAAAAAAAGCCAGCCCTGTGAAGTGGGCTCATGCCTTTTAATCCCAGTACTCAGGAGGCAGAGGCAGATCTGGTTAGTGAGCCTATTCAATAGCCAGGGGAAGGAGGTTAAGAGTAAAATTCACTCCATTATTTTAGCGTTTAAAGCAAGATTTTAGGACTGGGCTGTAGTTCCGTGGTAGGGCACTTGACTAAAGGGCATGAGGTTCTGGGTTTGGGTCTCAGTGCCTCTAAATATACAAAAATCTGATTTTCTGAGCAGGAGCACTGGCTAGGCGTTGCTTCAGTGTTTTTAACTAGCCGTGGATGTTTTGCTTTTGTGTGTGTGTGTGTGTGTGTGTGTGTGTGTGTGTGTGTGTGTGTGTGTGTGTGTGCTCCAGCGCCACAGCATGCATGTGGAGGTCAGACGACTGTGACTTGCAGGAGTCAGTTGTCTCCTTCCGCCTTGTGCGGTCTGGGGATCCAACTCAAGGTGATATGGTTGGTGACAAGGCTGTTGTCGCTGAGTTATCTCACCCACCCTGTTTTTCTTTTCTCCTCTGCTAAACGAAGTGTAACTATGTAGATGAGGCTGAACTGGACTTGGGCTCCTCTGGCTTCAGCCTCAAGTGCTGGAGTTCCAGGCATGCAGGCCCACACCTGGCTTGCAAGCAGTCTTTGAAAAGTATACACGTCAGTGAGCCATTACTAATCCTTTCAGTCTTACTCACTTTGTAGGTGACACACGGCTGAGAGAGCACAAGGGTAGAGTGACCCCACTGTTCCAGCAAGTCTTCACAGCTTTTGATCAGGATAATTTCCTTCCAGCCTTCGGCTTTGTTGATTGCTCAAAAACCACGAACGGAATCCTGAAAACCCGCTCCCACAAAACAACCCTTTCTTTTATCTATTTGCCCCACTTGTTTTTTCTGAAGATGAACAATATTCTCCCAAACCGAGGGGGAGAATTTGCCTTAGAGACATTTACTGAACTCCAGGCTACAACAGAAGCTGGAGGTGTACGATGACTAAACAGCGCCTCTGCTCCAGGACCATGAGGTCTCCCCACAGAGACATCGTGCTGCGCTCCGGGAGTACCCGCTGCCGCCCTCTTTCAAGGTAGGACGTGCCGCAGCGGCTGCCCTGTTGGTCGAAACTAGGTTTGGATCCCGCACTCATTCGTGGCTGCGGCTTGGAAGGCAGCCCTTCTGCCATTCCCTTCTGCTGCAGCCTGCAGAATAGGTCCTTTCCCTCTGCTACAGCAGATGCACCGCAGGGAAGACCCGGCCGAGCGGACGCCGCTCTCTTTTAAGGACCCAGTGCGCCCCCAAGCGGAGGAAGAGCGGCGGAACCGCAGCGGAAGCACGGAGAAGGAGGAAGGGCCACTTTCATGCCCGCCTTCCCCGGGGGCGGGGCCAGCTCAGGCCTCGCCCCGTCTGGACTCCATTTCCGACGCAACCTCGTCCTGCGGCTCCGATTGGCTGGCTTCTGAGCGTGAGGACGTTGCGTCGTGGGGCGGGGCGGGCGAGCGGTGTCTGTCAGGGCTTCGGCCGTACGCCCCCCACTGCCGTCCCCTCCCCCGCGGCCGCGTCGTTGCCACCTTTCGCTTGCCTTGAGAGGGGACAGGTGACGGCCGGGGCTCTGGGTGGCTGGCGGCTTGGCCTCCGGGCATCTGTCCTCAGCCGCCTCTCTGAGCCAGCCTCGGTCCTCGAGCGGGTCCCGGCCGCGGGAAGATGGCGGCCGCACCCCGCGGCGCCTGCGAGCAGCGGCGCCTGGGCTGTGGGTCGGGACCCCTCGCGCGGCCGCTCGTCCTTGCGCAGGCGCTGCTGCTGCTGCTGCTGCTGCTGCCCGCCGCCCGGGCCGGCCTGTGCCCGGCGCCCTGCGCCTGCCGCCTTCCTCTGCTGGACTGCAGTCGCAGGAAGCTGCCCGCGCCCAGCTGGAGGGCACTGTCAGGCCCGCTGCCCCCCGACACCTCCAGCCTGTGAGTAGAGGAGGGCCCGAGGGCGCGGTCGCTAGCCCGGGTTCAGGAGGGAAATTGCCCTGCGGAGATTGTGAACTTTTGAGTGTTAGGTTTCCTGGGACTCGTGGGAAGATTGGGACTAAGATCTGGGGCCCCTCGAGTTTGTGATGCTCTGGGCTGGGGATGTTGAACGTTGGACTCAACGGATCCTGAGCGCAGCGGATACTGGGGATGGTTGTGGGCCGGGTCCAAGTGCGAAGCCCTCTTTGGGCTGCATCATTTTTGTGTTCCAGCTTGATTGGTCCTTGGGCACGTGATGCAAACACGAGCTCTCCCAAAAGACACAGGAGGAGCTCTCTTTTGTCCCCAATTCTCCCATCGGCTCATTCATTGTATGGTTCAGTTTCAGTACTTGACAGGGTTAAAAAACCTCATCGTGCATAAGGAAGGTCATTGCTGACCTCGAATATTTTTGTAAGAGCAGTATTCTTTAGTAGTCAATTTAAAGAAGGGAAAGAATTTTTTCTTCCCAAATCATGATACTTTGTTTTCACTACATTGCTTTGAGGCAAAGAACCTTCACATCAGATCTCTCTCTTTGTTTATGTGTTGAGAACCCAATACAGTCGTTGAGTGGATACAGGACTCGCTCTGACTTCAAATCCTGACAAACTTGTATTAGCTAGTGGCACCTGGAGAGCTCATTGGTCTGAGTCAGTAGGTATTTAATACTGTAATTATGGGACTTCTTAGCCACCAACATACAGTTATATTTCTGCCACTAACTGAGCGACATGCGCATTAATTATTGTCTTCTAGAGTTACCTCTTAAAAAGAGTTACCACTGAAAATACTTGGGGATGTAATTAAAATGTGAAAAATAGTTGGGTTCTCATTGGTAATAGAATACAGATAGAACATCTGTATTGCAGAGGTTAAGTATATATTTGCAGTACGTATTTATAGGTTAGCATAGACAGGAAAGAAGCTAACTCGTATATTCATTGAGGAAAATTAGCAACTGCTACAGTTAACATCGAATTAGAACATAGCACAGATTCTGTCATTTTGTGGTGGTGACAGCTGTAGCTAATTCTGGTTTATTGACTCAAAATTTAAGATTCTTATTATCATGTAATGTAGTCTGAAAACATAGCATAGCATCTTCCTTAAACAGCAGGTGTTTTTTTTCAAAGAAATTATTGAGATAGCTACCTGATTATGATAGACTGAATCTGACATAGGTTTAAACACAATACGACTTAATGTAACTGTGATTGAAATAAATAAGGCCTACTTTTGGAGATCCTTCATTGAGGCTTGCTGAGCATGCTTGTTTAGCATGCATGAAGGCCAGGGTTTGATCACTAGCACTGAAAAAGAATAATCATTAGTAGGTAAATAGTAATTAGAAGTAATGTTACCAAAAATGCAAAATGTCACCAGAAGCTGACATTTAGTTGTTTGTTTTTTGTTTGTTTGTTTTTTCTTTTGTGTTTTGAGAGGAGGTATTGCCAGGTAGCCCAGGATGGCCTCCAACTGTCTTTTCTCCTGCCTCAGTTTACTTAGTGCTGCCCCACCATTCCCAGCTTTCATTCAGAAAATTTTAATGTCCTGTAATGAAATTGACATTTTTGCTGGGTGGTGACGACACAGGTCTTTAATCTTAGCACTTGGGAGGCAGAGGCAGGTGGATCTCTGAGAGTTCATGGCCTGCCTGGACTATAGAAAGAGTTCCAGGACAGCTAGGGTTGTTACACAGAGAAACCCTGGCTTCAAAACAAAAAAAAGGATGTTTTCAGTTGAAGTGAAATGTCTTAGAGAATGATTCTCTTATAGAAATGTAATTGGGGGGAGGGTGTTGGAGAGATGGCTCAGCAATTAAGCAATTAAGTGACTTCCAGAGGTCCTGAGTTCAATTCCCAGCAACCACATGGTGGCTCACAACCATCCGTAATGAGACCTGGTGTGTAACATGAATCTTAAAATGGTTTCACAAATTGCTAAATGGTTTTGTAATAAAAAACCCGAGCCAGATATTGGGGTGAAAGCTGAAAGATCAAAGAAGCAGAGCGGCCACAGCCACCCCCTCTGACCTCACCAGAATCTCAGCCAGAAAGAGCTCTGGCCAAAAGGGCTTCAGCTGAAAGGGACGCTTCTGCCGAAAAGCCTTAGTTCCTGTCTCCTCACGCCTTATATACCTTTCTCCACCCACCATATCACTTCATTTTTAGTGCTGGGGTTAAAGGCATGTGACTCCCAAGTATTGGGATTAAAGGCGTGTGCTACCGCTGCCTGGCTCTGTTTTCTCTCCTAGACTGAGTCAATCTCATGTAGTCCAGGGTGGCTTTGAACTCACAGAGATCCAGATGGATCTATGCCTCCCAAGTGCTAGGATTAAAGGTGTGTGCCATCACTGCCTGACCTCTGTTTAATCTAGTGGCCTGTTCTGTTCTCTGATCTTCAGTCAAATTTTATTAGGGTACACAATATATGACCACAGTGGTGCCCTCTTCTGGCCTGCAGCAGAACACTGTATACATAATAAATAAATAAATCTTTTTAAAAAAGAAAAAAAAAAAAAAGAAATGTAATTGAGTCTTCCATTAGCACAAAAACTCATAAGACTGTTCAAGGATAGGATTGTATTGTTTTAAGCCCAGGATGAAGCATTCTTCAGCAATTGCTATTAGCTGCATAATCGCCAGGTATACTTAGGGTTCCTTATGTTATCTTGAATTTTAGAGCACATTCAGTGTTTTAAGAAAACTCAAAAACTCAAACTTACAGCACTCATGAAAGTAATTGTATACAAAATTTGTTAATCCTGTTTATTATTATTTTTTCAGTGCTGGGTATTGAATCTAGGTTTTTAGGCATGTTAGAGAACTGCTGTATTATAGAGCAACACCCCAAGCATAACTGTTTTGTTTTTCAGTTTATTGGACATGGTCTTTATGGTTCTCTGTCTTAGAAATTCTCTAAAATACTTGGTTTTTCAAAATTGGATTCCCTGGGCACAGAACTCGTTATTGTGTTTCATTTAATTAAGCACACACCTACATACATAGATTGGAGGGCCCAGTAAAATTGTAACTTCTTTTCTTTTTTAAAAATATTTTATTTATTGTTTGTATGTATGACCATGTGTGGAGGTCAGAGGAAACTTGTAGAAGTTGATTCTCTCCTTCTACCATATGGGTCCCAGTG